ATATATAGGCGTGTAAAGTAATTGCGTGTTGCCCAAATTCACTGATTGTGTTAAAACCAGGAGCCATGTCAGAAATGAGCGACGACAGGAAAGTGAAGTCCTAACTGCTCCGTATAACCTTGCTTGGTGGGGGTTAGCGTCATTTATCAGGTCAGTATCTCCGCTGCGAATCCAGCTGACATGACGAAGGCAGGCTATGAACGCGCACATCAATGAAGAAAGTCGCGGTGCGGTGATTTCACACGCAGGCCGGCATTTGTTGCACGCGAGAGCAATGCTAGCAGCTTTCATGACTGTAGCTATGACTGCATCATGACTGTGCTGCATCATGACTGCATTTCTAGCAGCTTTCATGACTGTAGGGGGGTGGCTTCATTGAGTGTGTTCAGCTTAGCGTTGGTTCGGTGGGGGAATGTAGACATGGCATCTTGAATTTCGACTAGACACAGGGTTGAGAATAGTGATGTCACGATCATCGATTATACTCGATCATCGGTTGAACAGTGGCTCGAACCAAGCGCTTAGTGATGTCACGATCATCGATTATACTCGATCATCGGTTGAACAGTGGCTCGAACCAAGCGCTTGGTTATCAAAATCCATAATCGATTTAATCGAAAAAAAAAAAAAATGATGACAACGATGACAATCAGTACATGTATTATACACACAGTAGTAAACAGTGCAAAACAAACAGTAAACAGGGCTAAACAAGCACATACATGCACACACGTACATGCACACGACGTTACGCACACGCAGGCATTCAACACCCCGCGTAACCGATTGTAACCGATCATCGGTTACTTGGGTCCAGCCGATGATCGATTACGAAATTACAACCGATTGACAACACTAGTTGAAAATGTAGACTGGGTATCTCTCAACTTCACTTACGCGTCAACTTTGGTAATCACGCACACTCCGTGTGTTGACTAAGCGTGTAGAGTTGAGAGCGCCTGTGTAGTGAATGTGTGAACGTGTGAACGCGCTGGCCGCGCATTAGCATCTCAGTATGTGGACTAAAAAGTTATTAACAATAACGCATGTGCTTATTTTGAAGATTCATGCGGTTGTACGTCTGCCAAATTTCCTTTGGACATTTGCTGAAAAAATACGGTAATTCTGCAAGAACGTGTTCTGGAACGGACTAGTTAGCATGGCAAAATTTTCAGGGAGTCACACGGACTCCTGCATATGTCAAATCAGGGAGTCCGGCAGTAAATCAGGGCATATTTGACTCCGGACTCGCGTTAATTTCGCATCCTGTATATCTATCTGTGTAGTGAGCGTGTTCGCTGAGCATGTGCGTCTCATTGTATCTTGCAGCGCGCCGGAGATCATCCTGGGACTGCCGTTCTGTGAGGCGATCGACATGTGGTCACTCGGTTGCGTCGTCGCTGAACTCTTCCTTGGCTGGCCGCTCTACCCTGGAGCCTCCGAGTACGATCAGGTACGTCAGCGCCCCCTGGTGGAACTAGCGTCAGTGCCCCCTCGTAGAACTAGCATCAGCGCCCCCTGGTAGAACTAGCATCAGTGCCCCCTGGTAGAACTAGCATCAGCGCCCCCTGGTGGAACTAGCCTCGGCGCTGTGCACGGATCGGTGGTGCAGATGTGATTCTTTTATTTGTGTCGGCCGGATGGCGGGAGGGCGTGGCACGAAACGTGTCTGTTCTCGTTGGATCCGTCGACCGTTGTTAGCGTGGAGTGTCGTCGCCGCGAGATGGCATGTGAGCGATCGTGACGTTGGATAGCGGCCATTGTGTTCGTTGTGTTGTGCGTCGAAATTTTTTAGCTGGCCAATTTTTTTCTGTTTATGCGTGTGTCGTGCGCGTGTCCAATTTCGCATGCGACGTCCGGTGCGTCACGCTAACACGTCATCGCGATGTCACGTATCGTCATTGTCCTCGACATGCTTCGCGCCGCTACAGGACACTTCTAACGTGACGCGCGCATGCATGCAGTGTCGTATCGTGTAACGATGTACGGATCGGATATCGCGTCGCATTATATGACTCATGTTACCATGGAGATTTGCACTGAATTAAACGAACCGTTGTATCGTTGTCGCGTCATGTTGTCGTTGTATCGTTGTCGCGTCATGTCGTCGTTGTATTTCGCTACGTTGCGTCATGTCGTCGTTGTACTTCGCTATGACGTTGTATTTCGCTACATCGTGGCGCCGCCATGACACGTATGTTGCATTGTTGTCGTATTTCGCTACATCGTGGTGCCGCCATGACACGTATGTTGTATTGTTGTCATATTTCGCTACATCGTGGCGCCGCCATGACACGT